GTATTATTTTATGTAGCACATTGAAAGACCTGATTTACATCTGATTGGAGGTTTGCTGTCAACATCCAGTCTGAGCGAGAACTCAGAGGCCCGAGACTTGAACACGCTTCCCCTACACATCAGGGGTATAACTGGCCGACCCCTGACAGTGTTCAAGTGAACACTGTATCAGTGAACTTAATAAACACCTCCAAAGAATACCTGATTAACCAGACTGTGATCCATACGTCAGGCTGCGAGCATTCGCGTTCAACAGCCCTGTATAACCAGTCCAGCAAGGAGTAGGCTGGCCGAGGACCGGGCCGCGGGGACTTTGAGCCCCGAAATCATTGCAAGGTAACCGCAAGGTAAGGTGTTGAGAGAAGAACGAGAACTGTGTAATCGTATGAGACGAGAAATACTTCTCAAGTTTACGGAAACTGTTCTTGTGGTTCATTCCGCCGGTTGTGAATGTGATGCTTGGGGAAGGTGGTCTAGGCGTACTGGTGAGGGAGCTTCTTGAGGTTATCTTGAGATGATTTCGGGGCTTTAGTGTCCCCGCGGCCCGGTCCTCGACCAGGCCTCCACCCCCAGGAAGCAGCCCGTGACAGCTGACTAACACCCAGGTACCTATCTTACTGCTAGGTTACAGGGGCACAGGGTGAAAGAAACTCTGTCCATTGTTTCTCGCCGGCGCCTGGGATCGAACCCAGGATCACAAGTCCAGTGTGCTGTCCGCTCGGCCGACCGGCTCCCTCTGCAGGAAGCAGGGTAGTGCCCTCCTAATGACCATGATTTGATGGTAATTGCCCTCACGTATGACCATAGGGTAATGGGACCTCCCCTTCCCAAGCATGGAACCATTTCTCTGTCGGTGTGTGCTCAACCTTCCTCTTTATGGGACTTGCTCTAAAGAAATAATGCTGAATTTCTTTTTGTGTTTTTTAAATGATTTCGGCGTGTACGAAACTTGTTCTTATTACTAAGGCATTTGTATCGGTAGACTTGGTCCGGGATGATGCACTGCTCCCAGCAAAAAAATAATCTCAGCCTTCCACCTGCCTAACGCTTGACAATTTGTGGGTCCTTCAACCCGAACAAAAGTTTTGTTTTGTGTGTTTACTGCTCAGAATTAATAAAATGATAACAATTACATTGCAAGAAAAAAAATGAGATGAGAGAGATTAGTAAGTGTTTACTGCGGGAATAAACGCAATTGTGTGTGTGTGTGTGTGTGTGTGTGTGTGTGTGTGTGTTTACTAGTTGTTTACTAACTACTTTTTTTTTTTTTTTTTTTTTCTCTCCCACACCACACACACACCCCAGGAAGCAGCCCGTGACAGCTACCTTGAGGTTACCTTGAGGTGCTTCCGGGGCTTAGTGTCCCCGCGGCCCGGTCGTCGACCAGGCCTCCTGGTTGCTGGACTGATCAACCAGGCTGTTAGACGCGGCTGCTCGCAGCCTGACGTATGAGTCACAGCCTGGTTGATCAGGTATTCTTTGGAGGTGCTTATCCAGTTCTCTCTTGAACACTGTGAGGGGTTTGCCAGTTATGCCCCTTATGTGTAGTGGAAGCGTGTTGAACAGCCTCGGGCCTCTGATGTTGATAGAGTTCTCTCTCAGAGTACCTGTTGCACCTCTGCTTTTCAACGGGGGTATTCTGCACATCCTGCCATGTCTTCTGGTCTCATGTGGTGTTATTTCTGTGTGCAGGTTTGGGACCAGCCCCTCAATTATTTTCCACGTGTAAATTATTATGTATCTCTCCCGCCTGCGCTCAAGGGAGTACAGATTTAGGCTCTTTAGTCGGTCCCAGTAATTTAGATGTTTTACTGAGTGGATTCTAGCAGTAAAGGATCTCTGCACGCTCTCTAGGTCAGCAATTTCTCCAGCTTTGAAAGGGGCTGTCATTGTGCAGCAGTACTCCACTCTAGAGAGCACAAGCGTTTTGAAAAGTATCATCATCGGTATAGCATCTCTAGTGTGAAAAGTTCTTGTTATCCAACCTGTCATTTTTCTTGCAGTTGTGACGGCTACTTTATTGTGTTCTTTAAAGGTAAGGTCTTCCGACATGAGTACACCCAGGTCCTTTACATTGCCTTTTCGTTCTATGTTATGATTTGCCTGCGTTTTGTACGTGGTTTCTGTTTTTATATTTTCAATTTTTCCGTAGCGCATGAGCTGAAACTTATCCTCGTTGAATACCATATTATTTTCTGTAGCCCATAGAAAGACCTGATCTACATCTGATTGGAGGTTTGCCGTGTCCTCTATGTTGCCAACTCTCATGAAAATCCTAGTGTCATCTGCAAAGGATGATACAGTGCTATAGGTTGTGTTCTGGTCTATGTCCGATATGAGGATGAGAAAAAGTACTGGAGCAAGCACAGTACCCTGGGGGACTGAGCTCTTCACGGTTGATGGGCTGGATTTTATTTTGTTGACTATTACACATTGGGTTCTGTCAGTCAGGAAATTGTAGATCCATCTGCCTATTTTCCCGGTAATTCCTTTTGAACGCATTTTATGTGCAATAACACCATGGTCACATTTATCAAAAGCTTTTGCGAAATCTGTGTAAATTACATCAGCGTTTTGTTTGTCTTCCATAGCATCTAATGCCATATCATAGTGGTCCAGCAACTGCGACAGGCAAGAGCGCCCTGTTCTGAAACCATGTTGTCCGGGGTTATGGAGATGCTGTGATTCCATGTATTTTGTGATCTTACTTCTTAGCACTCTCTCAAAAATTTTTATGATGTGCGATGTTAGTGCTATCGGTCTGTAATTTTTTGCCTCTGCCTTATTTCCTCCTTTATGGAGTGGTGCTATCTCTGCTGTTTTTAGTATGTCAGGGATAACGCCAGTATCTAGGCTTTGTCTCCACAGAATGTGAAGGGCCTGCGATAGTGGTTTTTTACAGTTCTTGATGAATATGGAGTTCCAAGAATCCGGGCCTGGTGCAGAGTGCATAGGCATACTGTTTATGGCTTCTTCAAAATCTAGTGGGGATAGGGCGACGTCTGATATATGATTTGATGTTGGTATCATATCCATGAAAAATTCATTTGGGTTATCAATCTTTAGTGCATTTAATGGCTCACTGAAAACAGAGTCGTACTGCTTCCTCAGTAACTCGCTCATTTCTTTGTTGTCATCTGTGAAAGTTCCATCTCCCTTTCGCAGGGGCCCGATACTAGATGTGGTTTTTGATCTTGATTTTGCATAGGAGAAAAATATTTCGGATTTCTCTCTATTTCACTGATGGCCTTTTGCTCTCTTGCTTGCTGACTAACTCCCAGGTACCTATTTACTGCTAGGTAACAGGGGCACTTAGGGTGAAAGAAACTTTGCCCATTTGTTTCTGCCTCGTGCGGGAATCGAACCCGCGCCACAGAATTACGAGTCCTGCGCGCTATCCACCAGGCTACGAGGCCCCAACACACACGTGTGTGTGTGTGTGTGTGTGTGTGTGTGTGTGTGTGTGTGTGTGTGTGTGTGTGTGTGTGTGTGTGTGTGTGTGTGTGTGTGTGTGTGTGTGTTACTTGATACTTGTGAAGTCGGTGTGGTGCTCGGGGGGGGGAGTGAGAGTGCTGGTGGTTGGAACAGGTGTCCGTAAATAAATCCACAAGGGGCCGTGATGAGGGTTCGAACTTACGTGCAGGATGATCCCAGACGCGCCTTAATCGCGTCGCGGGATCACGGCCCTTGTGGATTTATTCATTTGCTATGTCACGTTATTGTAATTTCTATATGTATAGGTGTCCGTATTTACTGTTTCTACCTATAAGATCGACTACTTTGCTCTTGGACTCCATCCTAACTACAGCGATTGTCAAATGTACTGACTCCAGACACATATAATCGATCTAATCTACTATTTATTTTTCTAACACGTCCTTAGGATGCAGCCCACAGCAGCTGTCTAACTGCCAGGTACCTATTTTACTGCTAGGTGAATAGAGGCTTCAGGTGAAAGAAATGGCCCAATTGTTTCTGCCTCTGTGTGGCTTTGCCATTACCGTGCTGTGTGTGGTGGTGTGGCCGTGGTGTTACCCTCCTGATAACACTAAAATATTGGTCTTAATAAAAAGTTAAGAATAGCTGAGACCTGACGACCCGTGACATTCAACCGTGAAGGTCGTGAGCTTGTGGGAGGTGGGGGTCCTGCTGCTCCTGCTGCTCCTGCTGCTCCTGCTGCTGCTCCTGCTCCTGCTCCTTCTGCTCCTGCTCCTGCTGCTCCTGCTGTTGTTGGTGCTGGTGATACTATTTAGTTGTGCACTGCTGTCGGTGCTGTTACGAAGGTCTTGGTGAAACCCAGATTTTCTCACACCCTAAATAAGGGGGCCACTGCTGGATCCCCCCCCCCCCCACTTCCTTGTATCTCAGACTTTTGGACAAGATACACAGCCGTACCAGGCTGAGTATCTCGTCCATTTCGTGCCTATACCGGCCTGGCTGTATCTGTCGTTTCGGACAAGTCTCCAAGATTGGGGGAGATGTCCACGGCCAGCGTATTCATGGTGTCCCCCTTGGTCCAAGATCGTGGAGAACACGGAGACATTTGGCAACACGCAGTTTCATTCTGATTGTTCCACTATCAGGACTCAAAACACCGCTCCACCAGCGATTGTTCATACCTTACCCGCCTCGGATTTGAACATGTGTTGTCACAATTGAACGTTTGATAGAATGTTCAGGCAAGGTACGAGAGCTCAGGCCTGTAGATGGCTCTGGCGTTCCTCTGTACCTATTGTGATTGTAGACACACTAGGTAATATGTATAACACTGTCAAACCAATTCATAATATAACCCGTTTCAAGAGCCTGTTTTTTTAAATGTACTGATATATAATAACAACTCTTAAGAATGAAGAGTATTGCCTTGTTATAAAATAATGTGGCTTTTATATTACCGGGGAAGGGATAGGATGAGGGTAGGATGACGAGTGATTGAGCTGTCGCCATTATAGCGTGTTTAGTGGGAGGGGGGGGGGGGAGTAACTGGGAGCCTGGGAGGGATGGCGTGGGGGCCCCCCTGGCGCCAGTCTTTCCTGGTGAAGGGGCCCTCCCAGACAGCCGTCGTCAGTGGGGCCCTCCCAGACAGCCGTCGTCAGTGGGGCCCTCCCAGACAGCCGTCGTCAGTGGGGCCCTCCCAGACAGCCGTCGTCAGTGGGGCCCTCCCAGACAGCCGTCGTCAGTGGGGCCCTCCCAGACAGCCGTCGTCAGTGGGGCCCTCCCAGACAGCCGTCGTCAGTGGGGCCCTCCCAGACAGCCGTCGTCAGTGGGGCCCTCCCAGACAGCCGTCGTCAGTGGGGCCCTCCCAGACAGCCGTCGTCAGTGGGGCCCTCCCAGACAGCCGTCGTCAGTGGGGCCCTCCCAGACAGCCGTCGTCGGGGCCCTCCCAGACAGCCGTCGTCGGGGCCCTCCCAGACAGCCGTCGTCGGGGCCCTCCCAGACAGCCGTCGTCGGGGCCCTCCCAGACAGCCGTCGTCGGGGCCCTCGCAGACAGCCGTCGTCAGTGGGGCCCTCCCAGACAGCCGTCGTCAGTGGGGCCTTCCCAGACAGCCGTCGTCGGGGCCCTCCCAGACAGCCGTCATCAGTGGGGCCCTCCCAGACAGCCGTCGTCGGGGCCCTCCCAGACAGCCGTCATCAGTGGGGCCTCTTGTACATTTCCAGCAGATTCAACTGGGTCCTCCTACCCCGCACTGCCTCAACGCTCCGCCAGCAGGCAACAGTGGCCTCTGCGACTGGCTGCACAGGGGTCATGTTAGCCTGTCAAGGAAGGAAACTTATCCACATAGGTATTAATAAATGTTAAAAAAACAACGGGTCCGGCCTTCAAATATTTTATGGGGTGTAAGGGATAAAAATATCCCATCTCAAGGATATATGCAAGATGAAGTTTGTTTAATAGAGGCGAGATGGTTGCTAGACTGTGGTGGGTGGGGGGGTGTATAGTATGCCTATAGGGCCCAACTGTTAGCTCTTGGGCCCCGCCTTTCTAAGCTGTCAGTTGTCTATGCATGTAATTATCAAAAGAAGCCGCCAGACCGGGAAGATCGATTCTCTAATGTACTGATTTTCTACCTATTTTATCTACTATATATTTCTCTCTTAAACATAAATACTTATATACAAAACATACATATATACATACATAATATTTCCTCCAGGACGCGGCTTACAGCAACGAACCCAGGTACCTGTTTGCTGTTAAGTGAATAGAAATATCAGGTACAAGAAAATGTAATTATTCTTGCATCGGCCGGAATTCGAACCCGGGTTCCTGGTTTATGAAAAATCACTCGGCCACGAGACGTACGTTCGTACGTGCGTGTGTGTGTGCGTGCGTGCGTGCGTGCGTGCGTGCGTGCGTGCGTGCGTGCGTGCGTGCTACCACCCATCCAGTTAGTGTTCAGCTGATTGTGTTTGTAGAGATAGTGACGATTATCTTATCCTGCAGCACCCAACCTGCCAGGTCTACCACCTGCCAGGTCTACCACCTGCCAGGTCTACCACCTGCCAGGTCTACCACCTGCCAGGTCTACCACCTGCCAGGTCTACCACCTGCCAGGTCTACCACCTGCCAGGTCTACCACCTGCCAGGTCTACCACCTGCCAGGTCTACCACCTGCCAGGTCTACCACCTGCCAGGTCTACCACCTGCCAGGTCTACCACCCGCCAGGTCTACCACCCGCCAGGTCTACCACCCGCCAGGTCTACCACCCGCCAGGTCTACCACCCGCCAGGTCTACCACCTGCCAGGTCTACCACCCGCCAGGTCTACCACCCGCCAGGTCTACCACCCGCCAGGTCTACCACCCGCCAGGTCTACCGCCCGCCAGGTCTACCGCCCGCCAGGTCTACCGCCCGCCAGGTCTACCACCCGCCAGGTCTACCACCCGCCAGGTCTACCACCCGCCAGGTCTACCACCCGCCAGGTCTACCACCCGCCAGGTCTACCACCCGCCAGGTCTACCACCCGCCAGGTCTACCACCCGCCAGGTCTACCACCCGCCAGGTCTACCACCCGCCAGGTCTACCACCCGCCAGGTCTACCACCCGCCAGGTCTACCACCCGCCAGGTCTACCACCCGCCAGGTCTACCTCCCGTCAGGTCTACCACCCGTCAGGTCTACCACCCGTCAGGTCTACCACCCGTCAGATCTACCACCCGTCAGATCTACCACCCGTCAGATCTACCACCCGTCAAGCCTACCACCGCCAGGTCTACCACCCGTCACGTGTAGTACACAATATTATTTCTTAATTTCCTTCGTCGTGATGATCATTTGCGCATGTCGCATCTACGCATCGTAACGCAGCGCAACGCAGCGCACGTGTATTGAGGCCAGAGAACCCACACCAAGGATAGAAAATTGCCGGACTAGCCCGGCTGGTGTGTGTGTGTGTGTGTGTGTGTGTGTGTGTGTGTGTGTGTGTGTGTGTGTGTGTGTGTGTGTGTGTGTGTGTGTAAATTGGCATAGGAGGCGTATGCACAAAGAAGTGTGCATGCGTTTGTGGAATCCCAGTCGTTCTGCTAAATTTTCGTAATGTAAAGAAGTTTTATAAATATTAAAACAGGTGTTTTCTTTATCGTTGATGAAGGGTGCGAGTGATGGAGGGCGATAAGCGGTGGAATATTGGGTCTGGGCTCCCTGGTAGGTAGGTTGGCAGGTGTTGAAGAGGTCACTGACGAAGGGAGGCAGGTGTTGAAGAGGTCACTGACCAAAGGAGGCAAGTGTTGAAGAGGTCACTGACCAAAGGAGGCAAGTGTTGAAGAGGTCACTGACCAAAGGAGGCAGGTGTTGAAGAGGTCACTGACCAAAGGTAGCAGGTTTTCAAGGAGGTCACTGACCAAAGGTGGCAGGTGTTCAAGGAGGTCACTGACCAAAGGTGGCAGGTGGTGAACATGGCTTAAGAAGCAAGTTAGCCAAGCCCAGCTGGCAGAGAACAAGGTTTTGGCTGGCTGAAGGCATTGTTTACACCCCATTAGAAGACAGGTGGGGCGGGGAGGGCAAGAGGTGCGTGCGGCCTCCACCACGACATGAGGGCAACTGACTTGGCCTCACACGAGAGATAACACTGGCACTCAGGGCGAGAGGAAGCATCGGTGTTAATAGTTATGATCTGTTTACATCTGAAACGTTTATGTACGGATAGTACAAAGAGGAGGTTATCTTGAGGTTATCTTGATGATTTCGGGGCTTAGTGTCCCCGCGACCCGGTCCTCGACCAGGCCTCCACTCCCAGGAAGCAGCCCGTAGCAGCTGTCTAACTCCCAGGTACTTATTTAACCTCAGGATTACGAATCCGAAGCGCTGTCCACCCAGCTGTCAGGCGCCCTTAGCTTAAGCAAATTTAAAAATTCGTTGGCGAATCATCTGTTGTACAATGTGACTTGTCTCGCAATATTAGACATCCACCAGTCTCAGGAGACTATGGAGTTGCGCTCTGGTTGTCGGTCTGGAGTGGCCTCTCCAGGGCGCAAAGCCAGGGTAGGTTGATTCGGGGGAGAAGCTGTTACCCAAGCAGCAGGTCCCCTCCCCTTCTCCACGGCACCGAAAGTCTCCAATGGAAAAGCAAATGCCAATACGATTGGTTGCAGCGCCGTCGCAGGAACTGAGAGCTCCGGAGTTGACCTCGAAGTTAGTGAAAGAAGACACAGGGACTCGCAGAAAGCATTTATTAAAAACTGTAATTGTTATAATCAGGTTAGGATATCATTTATTGTGCAAGGTAACTGCAGATAACGTCTTATCTCTCTTATCTCCCTACTGCAATTATAAACTCAGTGAATATGAGTAAGGACTCACTCCTCGACTTTATATTTTGTAATGCCGACGATTTCAGACGAAATGACATGATATATGTCGAATCTTTGTAAATATTTCATTCACTCGAGGACATTAGAACATAAGCACCTAGTCGACCCAACGTTTGGTAGTGTAGGCTAGTAGTCTCGACCTCCTAGTCGACCCAACGTTTGTTAATGTAAGCTAGTAGTCTCGACCTCCTAGTCGACCCAACGTTTGCTAGTGTAGGCTAGTAGTCTCGACCTCCTAGTCGACCCAACGTTTGCTAGTGTAGGCTAGTAGTCTCGACCTCCTAGTCGACCCAACGTTTGCTAGTGTAGGCTAGTAGTCTCGACCTCCTAGTCGACCCAACGTTTGCTAGTGTAGGCTAGTAGTCTCGACCTCCTAGTCGACCCAACGTTTGCTAGTGTAGGCTAGTAGTCTCGACCTCCTAGTCGACCCAACGTTTGCTAGTGTAGGCTAGTAGTCAGGACCTCCTAGTCGACCCAACGTTTGCTAGTGTAGGCTAGTAGTCAGGACCTCCTAGTCGACCCAACGTTTGCTAGTGTAGGCTAGTAGTCTCGACCCGATCCATCCATGAATTACCATCTTATGAGATGAGTTTGTAAAACTTTGTAAATAAAAAATATTCACGTGCCTCTCTGTTCCTCGTCCCGATGTCATTCAGATATCTTTGGTCCCAAGGTAAATATAGCTAATTTATCCTCTCTTATCCCTCGTAATCCGGACTAATTAAGCGGAGCCTAAATAGTCCGAATTAAGAGAAGTGCCAACTGTGCGAGCAGAGGAATCATTTGCTGGAGCAGTTTGGTCGCTGGCAGAGACTCGCTGCCCGTGCACTATATGTGCTGTTTTCAGTAAATATAATAAGACTAATGCGAACAAGCCTGAATGGTCCCCAGGACTATATGCAACTGAAAACTCACACCATAATAAGACTAATTAGCAAAGGGTGGCATCATCTTCACTGTAATTAGACCTAATTGAATAACGCAGATTAGGCAAAATTGTAAATTGTAAATTAATAAAGATGTATAATAGTATACAGCTGTTGTAAAATATTCTACAGCAGCTGTATAGTACTGTTCGTGCCCTTGTAGCTTGTATTATCGGCAACATGTACATTGTTAGCTTTGAATTGTGTGCAATGTTGGGGAGTGTGTGTGGTGGCACTCCCCCACACCTGACGTGCCCACACCTGACCTGAAAGTACGTTTATTGCTTGACTATGTCCTCCAGGTACGGGCTCACCATAGCCCGTGCTACTGGAACTTATTGTTCGGAGTAGCGAATCTTAAACAACAACAACCTCCTCCAGGTACCGGGCTGTTACGGGCTATTCATGCCCGTGCCACCCCTTGGGTGGCTTAATCTTTATCAATCATCCAAGTGCCCATGTTTATAGTCCTGTGTTAAGTGTGGTCATGACGGGGGCTCCTTGCGTCATGGTAGTATGAATGAATGTCACTAGGCTGTAATAATGAGATTAACCAGAATGGGAATGGTAAAACCCAGGGCATTATACAACATTATACAATGCATTATACACGCTCGGGTGCACGCATGCTCACGCGCAGAACGAGGGGTCAAGGATGGAAACTGGAGACGCAAATGAGTCGGAAACGTCAGAAAGTACTCTTTAAGTGGTAGAGCCGTTAATAAAGTGGGATTAGGTTAGGCGTAGAAGTTAATGCGATTCAAAGTTTCAAATGTAAATGCGTAACAAATGAGTCACGGGATTAATCTATTGACGTTCAGAAGGTGGGGCTTAGGAGTCTAGCTCGACCCGGCAAGCACATCTAGGTGAACACACACACACACAACCTGGTATGTGTTTTTTTTCATCCTGATGCATCTGTTCACCTAGCAGTAAATAGGTGTAAATACCTGGGAGTTACACACGAAGCAGCCCGTAGCAGCTGTGTGTGTGTGTGTGTGTGTGTGTGTGTGTGTG